CTGGTCAAATTGAAAAATAAATGAATAAATGAAATTAAATAAAAATAATTCTTTACAATTTTTTAAAATTAGTTAACTGTAACTAGCAGAATGGATAAAGAAAAAAATATATATATATATTGAAGTTATAGTAACAGAAACAATATGTTACTGAGAACAATAAGAATAACAACAAAAACACAGGGCCTGCTGGTGTGTGGTGGTTAAGGCACTGGATCTCACATGGCTGACTTTATAGATTGAGTCCTAAACCCAGCAGCTTGAGACACACTCTGGGTATGTGTGCATACATTCCCAAAATCCTACGAAGAGAATGGAGGTGAAAGATAGCAGCATGGCAATCTTGCCGGGGAGGGGGGAGTGGTGGTGATTTCTCACTCCTCTCGCCCCCCCTCCACCTCTCTCTGGTGAATGTGTGCATCCTATAGCATAAAACTAAATAATAATAATAAAAAGACAAGAAAGAAAAAGACACGTAGACCAGTGAGACAGAACAGACCCGTGCATATCCATCCAGCTGATTTTCGACAGTTTCTGAGAACATCTATTAAGGAAAAGGCGATCTTTTCAAATAATGGTGCTGGGAAAACTGGACATCCATATACAAAAGAATAAAGCTGAACTTGTATCTCTCATCATAGATAAAACTCAACTCCAAACGGATTAAAGACTTAAACATATAACCTGAAATTATGAAGCTGCTTGAAGAAAACATAGAGGAAACACTTCCGGACATTGATATAAGCAAAGAACTCATGAATAAAACCTCAAAAGCACAGGCAACAAAATTTTAAAAATAAACAGGACTATATCAAACTAAAAAGCTTATGTTCAGCAAAGGAAGCAGTCAATGGAGTGAAGAGACAACCCACAGAACAAGAGAAAATATTTGCATACTATCCACCTGACAAAAGATTAATAACCAGAACATGCAAGGAGCTCAAACAACTCAACAGCAAACGAACAAATAACTCAATTTTAAAAAGAGCAAATGATCTAAATAAAGTGTCCTCAAAACAAGGCATACAAGTGGCCAATGACCATATGAAAAGATGTTCAACATCACTAATCATTAAGGAAATTCAGATCAAAACTACCATATCATTTCACTCCTGTTAGAATCACTTTCATAAAAGCTAAAAAAATTACAAATACCGGCAAGGATGTGGAGAAAGAGGAACTCTTTTACACTATTGGTGGGAATGTAAATTTGTACAGTCATTATGGAAAACAGTACAGAGTTTCTGCAAAAAAAAAAAAAAAAAGAACTACTGTAGGATCCAACAATCCCACTAGATACATATCCACAGCAAAGGAAATTAGTATACCATAAGATATTTACATCCTAATGTTTTTGCAACACTATTTATAATAGCCAGGATAAGTGTCCATCAACAGATGATTTTGTTTACCCATTCATACAATGGAAAACAGTACAGAGTTTCTGCAAAAAAAAAAAAAAAAAGAACTACTGTAGGATCCAACAATCCCACTAGATACATATCCACAGCAAAGGAAATTAGTATACCATAAGATATTTACATCCTAATGTTTTTGCAACACTATTTATAATAGCCAGGATAAGTGTCCATCAACAGATGATTTTGTTTACCCATTCATACATTTGTGTGTATGTGTGTGTATATATATATATATATATATACTATTACTATTCAGCCATTAAAAGAGATAGTCCTGTATTTCGAATATAAATGGGTTAACCTGGAGAACATTATGTTAAGGGGAGTAAGCCAAGTACAGAAAAAGAAATACTTGGGGGCTGACACGTAGCATAGTGGTTAAGGCACTAGACTCCCACATGGCCAACCACAGTTTGAGTCCCGAACATGGTGGCTTGTATTTTCATTTCCCCCCTCTCTCTTTCTGTCTCTCTCTGGTCAAATTAAAAATAATAATAAAGAAAATAAAATAAAAATTTTTAAAGGAAATACCATATGGGGCCAGCAGGTGGCGTGGAGGATAAGATGACTGGATCCTTCATGGCGAACTGCGCAGTTCCTGTCCTTAACCCAGGGGGGCTTGAAAACACACCAAGCACACGTGCATGCATGCCCAAAATCCTGAGAGGAGAATGGAGGAGAAGAGAATCATCCTGGTAGGTGACATCTCACTTTCCCTTTCTCTCTGTCTCCCTGGCAAGTGCACACACTATAGAAAACTTAAAAAAAAAAAAAAAAGAAAGAAAGGAAAGAAAGAAGGGGGGGAGAAAAAGAAAAAGGAAGACAGAAAGAACGAAAGAAGAAAGAATGGGAAAGGAAAGAAGAAATACCATATATTCTCCTTCTTATATGGAAATTGGGGGGGAAATGAACTAATTAGAGAGATGAAGAATGGCTAGGAAGTTTAGGGGCAGGGGAAAGAATAGAGGGGTGTTAATTGAGAAGAACAAAACTACATATGGATAAGAGGAACAATTTATTTCTTTATTTTTTTCTTCCTGTCAGAGCCGTGTGAGTTCATCAGAGAGAAATGGGTGGGGCAGCCCTCCCAGTGGGTGTAGTCATGCCACAGCCCCCTCACCTCCATGCTTCTATCCTGTCAGAATCGAGGGCACACAGACATCAGTGCATTTTCTCAAGCCAGGAGGGCCGGGACTCAAATTGTGATTGGCCATGTGAAATCTGTTTCCTTAACCATTAGGCTGCAGGGCCAACCCAAGAGGAACAGCTTCTGGTGGTATAAAATACAGTAGGGGGTTGGCTCTGTAGTGCTGTAGTCATATGCTGCCCTAGGGAAGCTATAGCCCACATAGCAACTGCAGTTCAAATCTCCTGCCTGGTCTGCCTGAAACACGCCAGCCACACCTGTGAGTGCCCGAGATGCAACAGACTGGAGGACAGAAGGAAGGGCATTACAGCATAACCAGACCCTGTGGAAGAAAGACTCCTGGAGGCTTGCTTTCTCTCTCTCTCGCTCTCGCTCTCGCTCTCTCGCTCTCTGTCCCTCTCCAGTCAAATTAAAATAAATAAATAAAGTTAAATAAAATAATTTAAAAAAAAAAAAAGAAAAGAAATCAATGTACTCTAAGTGTATGGGTTTCTTTCTGGACTTTCAACTCTGTTTCATTGATTTGTATGTGTCCTTATGGCAGTATTACTGCTGTAGGCAACTTTAATGTGGAGAATTTTTTTTCTTTGTTTTTTTTTTTGGGGGGGGAGGGGGGAGTTTTTGCTATGGGGTGTGTGTGTTCGCCAGATAGACAGAGAGACAGAAAGCGAGAAATCACCCCCTAGGGGGGATGGCCACACTGCAATCCCTTCTCCATTCTCCTCTCAGGATCCTGGGCATGCACACGCCCGGCATGAGTTTTAAGCCACCGGGTCTGGGACTCGAACTGTGGTTGACTACATGGGAGTCCAGTGACAAAGCCATTACGCTAACCACAGGTCCCAATTTGGGGAATTATTAATACATTCTGCAAGCCACTGACTCCTCAGAACTTGATGGTGGCAACTACAGAAAGTGGGATCCAAATATTTTTCTAGACAAGTGTTTTTATAGATGATTCAGAAACAGCATAACAGGCCTTTGGTATAGTATGTAGGATTTCATTCATTCCAACATATCTGTAAAGTCATATTTGTAAATAGTGTCATTGCTTCTGCAGAGAATATGATACATCTGTTGGTTTTATTTGCGAGACTACAATAGGTTGGTGGCCAGTGGATCGCTCCACCGTTCAGGTTGTTTGCATAGATTCAGCCAGTTCTTCTTACTAGGATATAACCAAAAAATTAAATGTGGAATTCTGCTGTGTAAAAAATAAAAATTGACCATAAGATAGCAAGATCTTGGGGCCAGCAAATGTTGTAGTGGCTAGGGTGCTGGACTCCCATATGGCAGACTGTAGTTCGAGTCCCAGACCTGGCAGCTTGCTTTCTCACTTTCCATCAATCTCTCTGGTCAAATTAATCATAGTAATAGTAATAATAATAATAAAATTAAATAAACAAGTCTTTTTTAAAAAGTAGCAAGGTCTTCATAGTAGTCATTGGTCTGTTGACAAACCTTGATCCTTGTCTCCTTCCAGGCATGTGATAGGATTGTTTGTCTTGAGGCCTCCTTGAATTTAAGCATGGCTATGACTTGATTTGGCAAACTAAATAAGTGATGGGTGGACGTTCGAATTGTCCAAGTTCCCTTATCCGGTCTTGTGGAAGTATGTGACAAGATGGAGTCTCCCTAAGCAAGAATCAGAATCCCCCTGACATTAACTATTGTGGCTTGAGCAAGAAATAAATGCTCGTTGTTTAAGCCACTGCGATATTACGGATGCTGCTGTTACATAACCAACCTTATTACACCCGCTACAAAGTGCACTGAATGTGGGAAGATGGCCTAAAAACGATGCAGATTATTCTTTCAGGACTTGCTCAAGCTGTCTAAGTTGGAGTTTCAGTCTTAGCTCTGCCTGACCGGCACTGGCCCAGCTCCCCTGCTCAGGCTTGGCCCCATGTTCTCTTCATAAGACATTTACTCACTACGTAAGGGGAAAGGGTATTCTCAAGAGACAGATTGCCTAGGTAGAATCCCAACTCTTACGCAGGAGGTGGTTTTGGCCACATTCCTTAACTCATATGTCTATTCCCATGCATGTAAAATGCAGACAATAGTATCTATACCATATCACAAAAAATGTAAAGAGTTTGGACACTCCCTAGCAGATAGTGCTTTGGGGGTGCTAGTTGTTAGAGGGGTGTGGCCCTGGCTATCACCCTAACCCTTTCCCCAGCCATTCATTGAGAATGTGCCAGACAGTACCTTTCCCATGTCTTCCATTGCAGACCTGAGTACAACACACAGAGAACAACTCCGGAAGGCTTGGATCCAATTTATAGGAAACTTCGTGATTGTAGTTACGCAGTAAAAAATGAAACTGAAAACTATGAATGTCTCCTGGGTTAGAAGAATAGGTAAGTATCTGGCAGTTCCTTGCACGTGTCAGAACTGGGAAGCGACCAAGTCTAAGGGGCTATAATTAGTGGGAACTGGGAAGTAAAGCGGTCACAGCCTTATTCACACCCCAGTAACTCACAAGACACACGCGGAGGTGGTTTATTTAAACTGGCTGACAGGGGCCCCACCAAGGAGCAGCAACAGAACACCTGGGAACCGTGGGACTAAACGGGGCAGGACGTCCGGGTATCAGAAGGTGAAGGGAGCTCGGCTGAGCAGCCAGTGCACAGTCAGGGCCAGGCAGAGCAGGGGAGGCCAGGCCCCAGGCAGCCCAGCCCCGCTCATGGCTGCAGCATAGAACTTCGCCACCTCCTCGTTGGGGTTGCCATGGGCCGGGTCAAACCACATCTGGATCCAGCGGCCGCTCCCTCGGCTGTAGTTGCTGACCTTGTAGGAGTGGGTCCAGATTTCATTGCACAGATGAGCGGGTGTGGGGAAGTAGAAGGGGAAAGGGTGGCAGGCCTCTTTCACTGGGCACGTGTTGTACCCTGCAGCGAGGACGAAGACCTGAGCCACTGGGCTCCCAACCGCCGCCCCTGGTTCTGCCAGCCCTGCGACCTCAACTCTTCACATACCCCTTTGCCCCTGTGCCCCACGTCTCCACCTCCAAATCCTTCCCTCCCGCCTCTCCCCACCTCTCACCTGAGGTCCAGTTCCAGCCCTTGTGCCAGTTGCTCTTGCAGGTGTAGGAGCTGCGACAGTCCTCCCACCATCTCTCACAGTCCTCCTTGCACAGGGGCACGTTCAGGATGCGCTCTCTGCGCCAGCTCTGGTCCACCTGGGAGGTTTTGGTAGAGAAGGGCTCAGGCTCCAGAATCCCAGCACCCCAGCCCTGGACAGAACTGGAGCTGGAGGCTCGGGCTGCAGGGATGTCTGCAAAGCTCAGCTCCTCTGCTTGCTTGGGGCCAGGATACTCATACCTTCTGGATCCACGGCCCGAGGTTCGGGGAGCACTCATAGAGGCAGGTGTCCTGGATGAAGTGTTGTTTGCAGGCAGGCTCCATCTTTCCACAGTGGTCCCAGTTGAAATTGTAGAGGTAGGAAATATTCCTGTGGGCCTCATGGCTGGTGTTGATGGAGCAGCAGGCGTTGTTCTTCCAGGGACTGCACTGGGTGGGGGAAGACACAGGGTGGAGTACAGGACCAGCACAGCCAGAATATTCCATACTGGGGCCCCAGTTGAGCTAGGCAGCCTCCAAAAGCAGTGGAGGCTGAGAGGGAACCCCTGTCTGGAAACCCGGTCACTATAGATTTCACTCATTCAAACCTCTGCTGAGCTTCTGCTTAGTCAAGCCCAGGCACTTTTCTAGGACCTGGGGATACAATGGTGAACAGTGATCACATGATAATTGCTTGGAAAAAATCAGGTGGGGGGGTTGAGAGATGGGCCAGGTGATGGTGTGGTGGTTAAGGTGCTGGACTCCCACATGGCCGACCATGGTTTAAATCCTGGACCTGGCAGCTTGAATATCATGCCAGGCATGTATGTGCTTGTGCCCAAAACCAGGAGGAGAGTGGAGGAGAAGAGATTACAGCGTGGCTATGCCCCCCTGTGGGGGAGGGGTGATTTCTTACTGTTTTTCTCTCTCTCTCTCTCTTTCTCCCCCTCTCTGGCAAACACATGCAGCCTATGGCAAAAACCTTTAAAATAAAACGAGGCAAGGGAACCAGCAGTTAGCGTAATGGCTATGTCGCTGGACTCCCACGTAGTCGACCGCGGTTCGTGTCCTGGACCCGGTGGCTTAAAACTCACGCCGGGCGCGTGTGCGTGCGTGCCCAAGATCCCGAGAGGAGAATGGAGGAGAAGGGATTGCGGCGTGACCATCCCCCCTGGGGGGTGATTTCTCGCTTTCTGTCTCTATGTCTCTCTCTGTCTGTCTGGCGAGCGCACGCGCCCTACAGTGAAAATCTCTCAAAAAAAAAAAATTAAAAAAAATAAAATAAAACGAGGCAAGGGAAACAGATGGGGACTTGCAGTGTTATGAGGTGGTCTGAGGTGACAAAGACCTGTAGGGCAGGGAGAAATTTTAAACTATAGCTTCAATATAATTCCAGTTACATATGAGGGTACCTTAAGGAGTTTGTGGAAAAATGAAATTAAAGTACAGGTCTGTGTTGGTGCAAACATTTTTTGAAATGCGTGCATAGCTTTTCATAATATGCGTGTTCCGTGAATGTTTTGGAGATCCCCAGTAAACACTCAATGCTCATGTGCTAAATGGATGAGAACACCTGGCTTAGAATTTAGTAGAACACAAAACATTAGGACATATGGTTTTTAAAAAGTTGATTTCTTCTGAGAGCAAGAAAGAGCGAGAGAGAGCACAGCTCTGATCGGGTCTTAATGTTAGGAGTCAACCCCAGCCAGTTTGGATCACAGGCACCTGCACACCTGGCATACGGAGGGAAGTGTCTAGACACAAACCCAGAATGTTCTCAGGTGGGTCAGCCTTGCAGAGCATTGCATTTTACCACTGCACCACCATCCGAACTTCAGATGTGCACTTATTTATTTTTTTGGAGATGTTTTTGCTATAGGGCGCGTGTACTCGCCAGACAGATAGAGAGACAGAGAGATAGAAAGCAAGAAATCACCCCCCGGGGGATGGCCACACCGCAATCCCTTCTCCTCCATTCTCCTCTTGGTATCTTGGGCACACACGCACATGCGCCCAGCTTGAGTTTTAAGCCACTGGGTCCAGGACGTGAACCACGGTCAACTACATGGGAGTCCCACAACATAGCCATTACGCCAACTGCTGGTCCCCTGACGTGCACTTTTTAAAAAAATAAAGGAGAGGACCAGTAGATGGTGTAGGAGTTATGTCACTGGACTCCCACATAGCCCACCATGGTTCAAGACACCTGGACCCAATGGCTTGAAACTCACACAGGGTGCATGTATGTGCCCAAGAGCCCGGGAGGAGATGGGATTGTTGCATGGCCATCTGCCCCCTCGGGGGGGGCGGGGTGATTTCTCACTTTTCCTCTCACTATATCTGTTTCTCTCTCTTTCTCTCTTGCCAGTGCATGTGACCTAGAGCAAAAACCTCTACTAAATAAATAAAATAAAATAAAATAAAGGGTAGATAAGTTGAAGTCTAGGCTGCTCGAGGTCTGTGGATTCTGGCAGCACTGGTCAGTGTGAGCTTGGCAGCTGTGGCTCTAAGATTCCAAATGAGTACCAACGGGGCTGCGGTCATTATCTGGTGGGGCAGTAAAAGGGGGCTCGACGGCAGCACAGCAGTAAAACAGGAAGTTCTGTAAGGCTGACCCGCATGGGAGGGTTCCAGGTTCACGTCCAAAGACCCCTCTCATACACCAGGCAGGTGCATATGTGATCACGCAACTGAGACTGGGGATGGACGGCAGCATGAAGGCCTCTGGGGGCGCTGTCACTCTCTCTGTCTAGTGGAAGAAAAAATAAGGTAGTTTTGTTTTGTTTTGTCACAGTGCTTACTGGAAAAGGGAAAGTGAGAAATCACCCCCCCGAGTGGATGGCCTCACCACAATCCCTTCTCCTCCAGTCTCCTCTTAGGATTTTTGAGCACGTATGCACATGCACCTGGCATGTTTTCCGAGCGTCTAGATCTAGGACTGTAATGGCCTACCTGTCTCAACCTCCACTCTGCCTGCTGGCCAAAAATTAAGGTTTTTTGTTTTTTAAAAAGCATTTACATATTGAAATACTTGTTACAAATTACTTTCTTTGAATTTTCTTTACATGTTCAGCTTCAGATTGACTCTTTTGTATGTCTATCCAGGATCTGGATATTAACAAGGTACTAGAAAAGAATTGCCTTAGGAAGGCGACCTCAGGCCCAACAGGATCTAAAAACACAGCCCAAATGGTTGCGTCCCACCCGCCTCACAGCTGTTTGGAGCTGGCAGAGAAGCCACTGTGCCCAGCGTGCAGTTTCTCATTTCAGAG